TTAAAAGTCTAAGGAGACCCATCCAGGCCCATTGAGTTAATAACACAGCCCCTGTACAATATAAAGTACAAGTGCAATTTAAATGTGAGAATAGTCAGTATTACACACAAATCAATGATATTATCAACGTCAATGAAAATGACTGTTCATGAGAACAGCTGAGTCAACTTCATCCTCACTTACTGGAAAAGAGACGCTCCTTTGCTTCATTACGAACATATTCCTCCACCAGGAGGGGCACACAGCTAAAGTGGAAGCCATGTGAAGAAATTGCATGTGTCCTACCACAAGAATGTGGGCTCTGAGTTTTAAGAAGACATTCCCTCTGCCGCTGCTCTTTATAGCAGCAGTCTGGCTCCCCAGCCAAGAGCCAGAAACTCGCTCTGCCTCTCTCTCCATGAAAAGTAAATAGCTTCAATCTGCCACTACTGAAGTCATCACTGTTGTTTACTAAAGGGCCTTTTATGCTGCCGTCATGAGATATTGCAATGATTATAATTTACAATGAATTGCTGTGTGAGAGAGATGACTGCCATGTATAAATCTCCGTCACTGTGGTACTCACCACCTCTGTGTTGGTGATCTTGGCCAGCAGGTCTGTCAGGTTGTCTCGAGTCAGCCTCTGGTCAGAGCGGTCCAACTGGAGGCCACATACAGCAGCTCCCATGCTGCCTGTGGCAATCATGGAAGGGGGGTTCATGGCGAGGCGGTCATCTGGTGAAGAAAGAGCATTCATGTGCAATTAGTAAAGCAGCAGCTTTAGGCCACAGTGACGCACGGAAATTGCATTTGTAACTTTGATACGAAGCGCTGCAAAACTTGACACAGCCCACAGGAAGTGTGAGAGATGCACGCGAGGTGCAAACATCTGAATCATCCTCAGCTCCGCAGCTAAACCTGACTTTCCCACAGTCTGGATTTCAACAGACGGGGCTGCTACTGGAACCTGTGTGGTTTTCTCCATTGAAACTACAGCCCTGATTAGAAAAGCAGAGTAGGAAGCCTCCTACTCGCTGAGAAATGAGTTCCAGGAACGACTCCCTCCAGTCCATATCGAAGTCGAAAAAGACTTGAACGACAACAGGCCTGGATGGAGGAGGCAGAGGAGGAGAGCAACTCATGGACAAAGCTGGGGGGCTTAATGATCTCTACCCTCACCCCGACAGTTAGTTTCAATTTTACAGGGAAACTGTGGAGTTGAAATCGTCAAGTATCTGAACTTAACACAAGGACGTCTCTTTGATATATATATTTAGACAGATAAGGTGATAGCAACAAACAACAGCAACAAACGGTTGCTGTTTGCATTGCAGTTGCATTGTGGGTAATGCAGGCACTAGGGACAGAGTGAAGAATGAATGGAATTAAAAACAGATATTTCTGTTTCTGCTGCATCAAGTTTGGTACTTAAACTATAAACTGTCCATTGTGAAAATGTTATAGAGTGAACCATTGCTTACTTCCCTTCAGTAGCTGACCAATAGTGAGTAGGTTTTAGGCTACACCCACACTACTAAGTTTTGAAACCCATCCATGACGTTATGTGTATCCTGGCGTACTCACTACTCCTACGTTTACAAAGATTTTACTTTGTTTTTTTTAACCAGATTTTTAAGCATCTAAAATTGAAAAATGTGGAAACTCTGGTGGTTCCATTTTTGGAAAACGTTGCTGCTGCCTTGTCATATGAACTTTTGTAATCGATGATGCAAGTTCTTCTGAAAACAACTCGACGACCATGAATGAAGGTGAAAGTGGTTAAGGCTTAGTGAACTACTTCCTCTCAGACTTCAGAGATACTTGTACTGCTAAATTCCTTTGTGAATTACTTTTTAAGCAAAAGTTAGAGCTGACATGTGACTTCTTTCTTGGGAGTTTCTCCTAACATGGCCAGTTGGAATCTACTTTTAATGGTAAGATGTTTAGTGAGAACAGCCGCTGGTGGTTTTTCAGCAGTCCTGATCAACACCGATCTCGAAAGGCAGGGAAACGGCAGACACAGCCTATCACATGGTCGCAGCCCAGTGCCACCCATTCTTGGTGGCCTGTTCGCTTTGATTAAACCCTGGAGAGAAGTCTGCTACACTACGCCCATCTTCTCCTCCAGGGACCAGCTGTCCATAGGAGGAGCTCCTCCATCATAAGAATAACATCTCAACTCCATATAAAACTCCAAACATTTACATTACTGCAGAACCACAGCAGGCCTCCTTTTTTTTCCACTGTGGCTGCTTTGTGCTTGGATATAACTAGCTGCTTATGAATAGCAGAGGCGACCACTGAAACACACCCAAATATAAAAAAAAATAAGTGTGACACTAAAACTTTGCTGAACAGGGAAAGAAACTTATTGAAGGAGCCTATGGTTCCAATAATTATCTCTAGTAAACAAGTAATTGTTGGCAGGATTTCACTGCAATGGCATTTGTGGGGAAGTTTATTGGACTAAAGTGACCTTCTTTGTTTTATTTCCTTCATTGAATTAGCTGACAGGAAGTGGCAGATGAAAGTCAGCCTTGTGACCGAGGAGTGCTGCATTGTGTGTGTATTAGGTGATCCTGCATTGTGTTTCCATCCAGGATATGAAAATATTAGAGGGATTCCTAGTATAGACAAAGGAATGCCATGAAAATTCACCTAGGAAGAGGCCTAAGGGGACATCTGAGTTTGAGCTCCTCCAGAGTTTATTCTGGACATGAGGCTAGGATGGGAGGAGGAAGGAAGATCACTCGATCACTGACTTTTTTAACCTGGAAGCTTCTCTGTCAACAAACAACACAGGCAGAGGGACACAGGACTTAAGCTGCACCTGAGTCATCCAGCAAAGTACGTGTGCGCCTGCTGGAGCAAAAGTTAGAGTATGATAAAATCACTACCATTACCACGTACGTAGCTAATCTAAACACAGCACTTATGGGACTTTTTTCAGGCACTTAGTAGAGAATATGGCGATGACCACTTTAAGCAGCTTTTTGCAGCTGCTGAGAAAACCCCTTCGCTACAGGCTGCACAGAGACGATAAAGTGGATAAGGCAGCCCGAGAAGAAAGAGGTCACAGATGACTCACAATGGGAGAATGTTCGTGTGTGTGGGAATATTCTGGTGGATGTGGCAATAACAAGGCAGTGGAGCGAGCAAGCACACGAGGCATATGAAATGATATGAGTCAGTGTACCTGTAGCACAGAGGGCGATGAATGTCAGCGTGTGTTTGCGCACCATCGCCAGCTTGTCTTTGGGAAGGGGCAGCCTGCGTATGATGTGTTCTATAAAATCATTGGGAATGACTGAGGCCATGTTCCACTTCAACTTCCCCAGCACAACAAGTTCCCAGTCCTGAAAGACACCAGAAAAAAAGAGATGAGTTAAACAACAGCTTCTAAGCAAAAAAACCTCCCCAGTGTGAGGATTAAATGGCGTGATGCCATGCCTCCATTGACCATGAAAAGGATCACAGTCCATCTTTATTCCCAGAGGAAATGGCTCTGTAAGAAGAGCAACATTTCTTCGCTTTATCTCTCCTCACTGTATCTTATTATCTGCATGCCATTCTCATTCCTCGCATCCTTTGTGTTCATATCGCCGGCATGTGACAAGCTTTGCCCTGCTTAGAGGCCCTGCCAATGAGAAAGCTAGCGCCTTCCTTCCTGTCACAAGCCTCAAACAGCTACCATGAGTTTGCAGTGCACGGGGAGCCGCACAGAGCCGACTCTTCATACAGTCAGTCTCTGCACCAGCAGGAAAGTGGACACATGAAATTAGTTAATTTCCTTCATGTTAATCAGTTGACAAAAGTTTTAATGCTCCACAGTTTGGTTTTCAGTCATTTAAGTAAGTAGAGCTCAAGACTTCAAGGTGTATAAATGTGCAACTCTAAACATGTAAACGTGTATCACAGTTTTCACATCACTTCGAGGTTTGAAGATTTACAAACATGCATCATTATTTTGAAAATGTAATGTTTATGAACGTCAGAATCAAACAGCGCGGGGGGGGAATTTTAGCACAAAAGTTAGAAAAGTGCATGGACACATTCAGATATTATTATCGGAACTAATGACATTTACCCCAAACAGAAAGATAACCAGACGCCCCAGGATTGCCTTGTAAAGATCTTACTCGTAAAAAGAGATTTGAGAAACTATAAAACTAAATCTTTCCAAACCTTCTATTTTTAAGCATTTATTAGTGCCATTGTTCTATTTTAGTTTCAAGTATTTATTAGTCTCGACTGCTTTCTCTTGTACAATGACAATGAAAGATTTATATCCTTTTAAAGTAACACTGTGTACTGAATTTTTTAAAATCATGTCAGATACTCACAAATTTCCATACAGAGCAGCAGATTCTGGTGCTGCTGAACTGTTTTACATTAAAAGTGTATATTATTATGTCCACACCATTCATATCAATACACCAGATGTCGATTGCACTATGATGAATAAATGCTGATGATTTCAACTTCACACTTCCTGTGTCACCCACAAAGTAAACGTAGTAAACAACGAAACCCTGATGGCAGCAGGGACACCCCCTGCCTACGCTGATTTGTCATCTGAAACGTCAGCTATAATCTACATTTACGTAGGTTTTTAGCCCATAACCTGCCTGACACATGCTTTGCATTTAACCCATCTAACCCCTGAGGAGATAGTTGACTGTGACGTGAACGGGGTGGAGGTTTGTTGTCCGAGCGCTCCCTTCCTGGACTGCAGCCACACACACTCACACACACACACACAAGCACGCACGCCCTTAAACTCCTCTACCAGCGCAGTGTTCATTACAAGGAAGAGCTGCAACATCTTTCACTGGCTCACGGTGCCTCCTCCGAACATCCTGTGAGGATATCCAGGAATCTGGAGTCTTACGACAATATGGAGCATCAGATGGGACTCATGTCATTTCCCTCAACTGCTCCAGGCAACACAGGAAGATGTATAAAAAACATATGGATCCATATGCCAAAATAAGAAACGGGTCAAATGGTCAAGACCTCAATTTTTTTTGTAGTCAACTAATGGAAATATTACTTCTTTGATATGATTGGTTATTTCAGTCATTTTACCTCGTCCCAGGATCTCAACTGGGAGGATTTAATGTTTTTCTTTAGGGCTGCAACTTATCATTTTCACTGATTCATCATTTTGTCAAAACAAAAACTGAGAAATTCAAGTTACGTTTTGAATTTCACTCATCTAAGTATTGTTGTGAATTCCAAAAAGGCACACACTTCTTTTATTAACCCTCATATGGATGCATGGAAGTAGAATTAAAGTGCTTACTGGCAGTTTTTAAAGGAGACTTTTGTCCACATCTATTTGGAAAACAAGAGAACAACCATTTATCTAAAGATAAATAAAAATTCCATGCTGCATAACTGGCACTAGATGGCATCACATCCCTCTCCAGTCCACATGGATCCAAAGAAAGGATGTGGCTGTATTGTGCACAACTCCACTTATGGGTAAAATGGGATACTTCCTGTGAAACAAATTAAGCTATTAGCATTTATAAAATCATCCCAAAATGTGATATTGCATTTTTTACGCTTCCCAAGAATGAACCAACAAGCAAATGGATGGATGAATGGATGGATGGATGAATGGATGAATGGATGGATGAATGGGGGCTTTTGAAAGTCCAGTTCTTACCAGCAGCTCCCGTGGTGTGATGGAGTTGTCTGTGTACATGCAGAGTTTTTCTGCTGATAGCGACCGGCTGTCTTTTAACTTGGAGGCCAGGAAAATGCACACGGCTCCCAGGAGCTGCAAGTAGTTCTTTCTAGTAGACATCACTGCTAAAAATCTGTCCAAATAATTAATGGCTAAAGGGAAGACGTCTTCGTTGCTCTTCTCCTCTTCACACACCTAGAAGGACACAGATATATATGTGGAATGAATTATATGATAGTGTATAAAAGAGGAAAAGTCTCAAATCAAACTAGAAGGCATATGTGGATTGGTTTTGCTTACAGGATTGTGTTGGTGTTTTTTCCCCATGCTCGTGTTTAAAATAGATTAATGGTCGAATTGTGACTTTAAACACATCTTCAGTCATGAGCTGCAAAATCAGTATGAAAAGCAAATTAGCTAAATAGGAAGTTGTTCAGCAAAAAAGAACTCGCCTCCTCTTCCTTGTTGGGGCTCGTCGTGTTTTTAGAAAATATTTTAAAATTAAACTAAACAACTGGTGTTTTTTAAAAAGCGTGCAAAATGTCCCCAGGTTGTTTTTAAACAGTTCCCGACAGTTATAAACAAGAAGCGTTCGCTAGCATGAGGTGGTTTTTAGCTTTTTTAAAAATGAAAGTGGTGTTGCAGTCCCGTCCCCTGCCCTGCCATGAGCCTGGACCAAGTTTTAAACAATTAATAATAATTCAACTGAGGGGGAAATGTCACGTTTTCGATATTGTTAATTAAGCTAAACTCCCCCTGTGTTGTTTGAGCTAGCTAGCTGACAAAAAGCACCGAGTTATTAGAGGTTAACCGATGTAAATATCAAGCTAGGCTACTTCTCTGAAGCCGATTTGTCTTCGTACAGGAATTTCCGTCTCTCCCACGCGTTTTGGTGAGTCATTGTCATTCAATTGTCAAATACATGACAAACCTCCGTGGCCAAAGACACCCGGGTTTAAGAGCTAGCATTAAAAAAAACCGGCTAGAAACACGTTCGTGCAGATGCTAAAACAAAAAAAAAACAAAAAGAAGAGAAAGTTAGCTTAAAAGCACCAGGAGCATGAAGTGCCCACAAACCTCGTGCATCCAGCCTGCAACCATTCGTCTCATATAGGGTTGAATATCCTTCTGGACCCGCTGGAAGTACGAGCACGGGGGTAAAAACTTGTCCTCAATGGTTAATAAACTCTGCAACACTCGGTCATCGTACAGGATGTTTGGGTCAGGCTGGGCTCTCACGGTTATGTCCGACTCCAGGCAATACAGCTCCATGACTCGGGCCCCCTTCTTCCCCCTCCTCCGCTTCTGCTCTCTCCCTCTGTCTCGTTTGTTTCTGTGGCTAAAACGTGAAACCGAGCGAACTAGTGTCGGATGGTGGTCGACAGCGGGCAGCAGGAGCAGGAGGAGGAGGAGGAGAAGTGCCCAGGACGAAGCATGAAGAGGAGATGGCCGGGTTCGCTCCACTCCTGCTGCCTCCCGGTTCACTTCTTCCTCTGCGGCAGCTCGAAGGTCCGACCGGCCCCTCACCGGAGCGACACATCCGGCGAGACCTTCACAATAAGAGCCTTGTCTCTGGGGGGGACAGCCCAGGAGAGGCAGTGTTACTTATTAAAAACTCATTTCGTACACACAAACACAACATAGAGAGAGTATTAGAATGATCATATGCTTAATTTTCATAGCAACGTTCATACACAGAGGTACATTCAAGGTGCAGGGACATTAAACACAACAGAGATCCAAAACGAAATGATATTAACAAACATGATTTGTTTGGCTCCTTTCGTACAAGAAATGCTGCTCAAAGTGCTTTACATCCAATATTGATGAGGGAAAAACATAAACACAAGAAACATTAGTGTTAAAATGGCATTTAAGAGAAAATAATAAGAGAAAACTAATTTTGAAAATGCATGAAAACAGAAAGAAAGAAAAAGATTTTTGAAAAAGTTTTTAGGCTGTTCTGCTAAAAGTCCATTGCATTCTGTTACTCAGTATGCACTTTATATTTCTACTTAAATGGCTGCAAATATGTTTTATATCAAGCTCCCTGAAGGCAGCATTAGAATAATTATCAGGAAGAATGATGCTTTATAGAAAACTGGAAAGATGCCATATAGCTGCGCTAGTCCACAAATCATAGAGTATTTACATTTTTTATGCAGTTTATGGTACAAATCAGCACGGTGCACTGTCTGCAATTAGACCTTCATATCTCCAAGCCCCAACCCAGCTGGCCCGACACATGTGAAGACAATGCTATAAAATGCAGACTGAAGATGTGACAGAAACTCATAGTCTCCCTTAAAACTCTAGCAGGTGGTGGATAAGTGTGTGTAAAGATTATTAAAAGCATGCATGCCAAGAATTGGTAAAATGCTTGCAGACATACAGTTCCTTGGCCTTTACTTACCTGCTGTTAGCTACAGGGTGGCCTCCGCATCAATGTTTTATCACTCAGTTTCAGCTAATAGCATCATATCTTTTAAGTTTAATTGAACATGCAACCTAAATTATAAACAAATGCATTGTTTCTCAAGCCGTTTTCAGACATGGAGTTCAGTGTTTATCTGAAAGCAGCTTTATTCTTAAGCTCTTAGTCAATTTTACCCATCTTGCAGCCTTCCACAATTCTTAGACTAGATACGGTAAACTAACCTTGTATTGAATTAGTTTGAAGACTTAGATGAAGAAATACACTCTATGAGAGTCTCTGCTTCAAAATAGTCTCATTCAGAGAATCCTTGCTAGTAGCATGCCTGGTTAGCATTGCCCAAACATTTCTGGCTCTTAAAAACTGAACATTAGGATGTCAACACACAGAACTATTATTGTAAAAATAGCCAGCTTAACATGTCATGTTAGCATAGTGATATTGGTATTTAGCTCAAAGCACTACAGTGCCAAAGTCTCACCAAATTACCAGAGTGACTGTAGACTCTTGGTACACAACTGCAGCTTTCTTGTAGATGTTGTAGGTTTTGGTAATATGAGATAGCCTTGCTCAAAGTGAGTACACAGACTTTGGACTTTGAAATACATGCGTTTTTAAATCAGGTCATTACTAGTGCAGCCACTGGAGCTGGATGTTGCACACATCTTTATGGCTAAGGGTGTGGACGGCATCTCAATCCACCTCTAGAGAAAAAAGTTTCCGTAAAGGAAGTCCTTTGGCCTGGGGGCAAGTATGAGGATATTCACATGCAAATCAGCAGAGAGTGCTTTGGAAAAGTGTTTATTATTTTGTCCTTCTAAGACAGGATCTAATCTGTAAAAAGGTGGGGTTATAATGGAGGAGGAAGTTATGAAGTTGTCAGCTCCCTATCACATTCGATCTATGAAGGCCATTTCGTTCCCTTGTGGCTCCCTTTGCTAATTTTTACAAAAAAATGCGTCTAAATTTGCCGCCTCCAATCGCATGCTGGCATATCAAGAGCTCCGAGTCGAGCTGAATGACAGTGGTTGAATTGCTTCTCACTGGAACGACTTCACAAACGTCCTCCTTTCACAGCCGCCACCAGAGAGCTGAATGAGATATGAAGTTTCAGTGAGAAAAATCGAGGAGTACTGTGGAGCTATTATGAGAGAAGACTGTGAAATGAGAGTGGGAACTGTCTGAGAGAATGTCAAGGTTAGCAAGATTAGTTCTACTTCAAAGGGGGGGAGGGGGGTGTATGTATGTATGAGAGGATTCATCTTAGAATTGAGATTTCGTGTCAGAGGGTTATCCCTTTGTCTGTGCATGGAGAGGATGACAAATCCCTGGGTTGATGTTTTTGTCAAAAGGGGGTCTCTCCACAAGAGGCCAAAGAAGCCTACCATACCAGCCATTCAAAGCACTGACACTTGAGGGAAAGAGAGGTGTTAGACAGATAAAGCAACCTTACCCTGTTGCTGCTGTTTGTGCATGTGTCCTATGATAACACATGTCAGCCGCTATCACACACTCCGGGCTGCACAGAGGTAATAGAGAGCGGCCAAAGCCCTGGGAAAACGTGGAGGAGCGTGAAATCACCTTGATCCAAAGATTCCTGCTGCATACCAGTCCACTGAACCCACCAGAGCACAGGGGCCCGGAGATGGGCAGACTGCCACAGATCAAGAGAAAGAGACAAAGAAAGAGAAAGAAAGAGAAGAGGTGGAGGGTGATAGTCAAGATCTTTAATCCTAGTGATCGGTTTAAAGCTTAACATCATCTCATGCATTTCCTGTGCGAGATCAAATAAGTCGCTCCATGAGGGAGGCCTCTCTCGGATATAAACACTGGATTTGCTTTTACATGCTAGTTTCAGGGTTAAGCTTGATTACAGGTTGCCCATGTGCTCTGAGTCAAGCTGGCTGTTTGGGTTTACTGACAGTAGAGAAAAGGATGCTATGGCTGGAATGCTGTGGTGTGAACAGTGGTGAACACTCCTCCCAGCGCTGAGTGATAGCTGGTGTAGCTCAGCCAGTACAGTAGATAAAGTGGCTTCTGTCTGTCACATGGTTGCACACTATCAGCTTTCAAGACAAGTGAGTACACCCCAATGAAAGTGGGCTAAACACCCGTTCTCGAACATAAAAAGTAGGTGACATAAATGTTTGTGGGTAGTTGTGTGTTCTGGCGCTTTCACATTCTATTCTGGTCATGCTATCAGCGAGGGTGGAGTGCGCCTCTATCGCGAGCATCACACATCCGAGCTGCCCCCCTGTCACTGCCACTCGCTGCAGAGGGGCTGAGGGGAGAAGTGGCGTTCAGCAGGTAATGTGCAGGATTGGAGAAACAATTGTTTGAAGCAGCGCTCCGTCCAACTATTGTTGTGGTTTCCTTTGCCCGGCATCTCCTAATTATATTTGCTTGGATGTGTAAATTCCACTTCCTCAGTTCTCCATCAATCCTTAAGATGTAATTGGGAGCCCTGTGGTGCAACCAGTTAATTTGCACTCAACTACGCATCGAGATTAGAGAACAAATGGAGCGTCGTCAAATCAGCACAGGAAAAAAAAAGAGGGTGTTCCCCTCAAAGTGTCCTAGGAATGTTTTGGCTAAAGTGAAAGGCATCATTCAAACTGAAATGCCACCGTTGAGGAGACAATGACGGGACAGACGGCAACATCCGGGCCTGGTCTTTAGTTGTCTTGCTCTTGAACACAAGAGGGTTTCTTTTCTACAGCTTGGGCCTTGGTCACTGTTGAACCCCCCCCTCCTCCTCTTCCATTTAGTCTGTATACAAGTCTGACGTCCGGCAGCTTGCATCCCTCACTTCTACCAGAGTCTCTGAGAACATTGCCCTATTCTCCGCCATGCACTCAGGAGTAATAACAGACAGAGGAGGGGAGAGGAAGAGGGTACATTTTAAACAAAAGGAGTTCTATGAGGTGACAGGAACAAGGGGTTTAGGTTTGTTCTACAAAATGCTCAATGCTGCTTTTCCCCTTTAAAGGAACCGTCCAACATGAGGACACATTCTTATTATCTGTCCAGCAAGAGTTGAGAAGATATTGTAAAAATCTGCTGTTTAACATGGGGCTATATGTCAGGAGCTTTTAGGGAGATTTTGTGACAGAGGCAGGGTACTTGTTTCCTCTTGTATCCAGGCTATATTTAAACTAAGCTGCCTTGCTGCAGGCTGTATACAGACAGATACAAGAGTGCTGTTGATCTTATCATCTATTTCACAGCCAGGATGTGAATGAGTACATTTCCCAAAACAAATGTCCTAAATTTGAGTAATCATTATGTACACCCATATCTATTAAACACAGATCCAATTTCTTACCCCAAATTCTGCACAAATGTTCTGTGTGGGGGTTGGGGAGGGACACTCAACACAAAGGAAAAGTCTGGATTTAGTCATAAGCGGCAAGCGACATAGGTTGGATTTTAAGTGAATGAGATCACATCCTCTCAATTTCACAGAGAACAAACTTCATGTCTAGAAGGAATCATTTATATCTGGATAAGATGGGATTTGCATCTGTCCTATCCCTCCCTGCATGACAGACTATAAAAAAGACAGCATGCATGTAAAGTAATGTCCATGTTCACGGTATGAGGGGACGGCATGCGTCTGCAAAAAGAGTGATGGTCTTCATGTGTACATGCAGCTAGATTTCAGACTGTTATATAACTCTGCAGAGGGGCCCCCCTTGTTCTGTTCCAGCAGTCGACTCTGTCTGAAGTTCCCCCAGTTTTCCTGTTCATTTGCCTCACAACACAAATGTCTCAGGGCGGCAAAGAGGACGAGGGGGGTGACTGGGCTGCGGCCAAGAGGCAGCGGCTGCCTGTCACAAGTGAACAAGTGTGTGTGGTCAGAGATTAGGGAGGGAAGGCCTCAAACAAAAATTCCAGCGGAGGAGCTCCTGTGGCAGCTGTGGCTTTCTGAGTGCGAAGGATGCTTGACAACTGGAGACGCCCGATTGGCCTGCAAAAGATGAGTGGGTGTGTCCTGGCAGTGGCCCGGCTTCCTCTGTATGATCTTAAATGAGAAGAGTGACAATTCATTAGGGACAGGATGTCCAATAGGAAGACTGATCCCAGGGGTAGATAGAGGGCCTTGCAGCTGACCACCCAATGACCTTGGATCAAACAAATGTTAGTCTTCTTTCTCTGTCCTTTGCCTCAAACACATTCTGTGCCCACTGAAAAATGAGGCATTAATCAACAGCAGACGGCTGAGCACTTTCCAGTAAGTCATTTTGCGCCAGTTTATTTTAAACCAATGGGTCACACTGTTCCACAAATAACATTGCTTTCTTCGTCCGTTCACTTCCCTTCAGCTCTGCAACATTTCCACTCCTGCACACTTACATTTCCCTCCTGAGAGAGAGGAGGAAATGGGGGGCCTCGCAATGTGAACGAACGCTCTTTGAAAGTGGCTCTAGTGAGGCGATATGCTACTTATAAACGGCAAGCAGGGAGGGTTTCAGGGTCGGACTTCTGGGGCCTGGACTGTCTGGGAGCTGCCTGGTGTTTTCCTGTGTGTGATGCATTCTAACCCTGGGCCCCCTCGACTAGGGCTGCAGCATAAAGAGGCCTCTGTAAGGCTGAGTCAGCTCCAGCCCTAATTCATCTCATTGCTCTCATTGCTTGATTAAATTCAGCAGGGGAACTCAGAAGGCCCCTATTTCCCCTCTAAACGCCACATGCATTCAAACAGAAGTATGGAAATCAACCTGTTATCAGTATGAGAGCTGCAGCCTGCTGCAACAATGGCCCTCGTGTCCTGAAGAGAGAGAAACAGGTCTGGAACCACAGCCAGACCAAGCACATTGATGCACACTGATAAGTACTAGTCCAACAGATCTGAGTGAGACTGAAAAATATTGTTTCTATGAGGTAACTATTGTCAGTGACTTCGGATTGAAAATATAACAGCACACCTAGCATTGCAAGACAGTGCACATTCATCCAATTAAGCATAGAAGACAATGCCGGAGAGTGAATACAGAAAACCTATATTGCAAGATATGGTCCAGAAAGAACACTTTAAGACATTTTAGTTAGACCGTCTCTGCCCTGCATTGAGCTGACCACTGCAGTTAGTGATGCAAACACACACACACTTTGGGTGGTGGCGAAATCCAATGTTTCTCTTGCATATGGAGTAATTTGACATCCCAGAGAGCCCGAGAATAAAAGAAAAACACAAGCAGGTGCATACCAATGCCTATCTGCAGGAAATGCCATGATATGAGCTGGGAGGGTGATAGTGTGGTCAGGGACGGATGACAACATCATTCTCCTCCCATCCCCTGACCTCCAGCCAGGCTTTAATCCTGAGGAGGTGGACGTTCAGCGGAGCAAAGGATACAAGTTGCCATATGGCGCCAAAAACATTAGCTTGAATCTGTATCCACCATCTTGGTTCTTGACTTTGCCAAAGGATTTCACAAACAGCATCACCGAAGTCTCTCTCTCTCTCAGTGTTAAGACATAATATTATATTTATATTCAAAGGGAGTTTATACAAAGCCAAGACATTGTACCAGTATCCTTGTAACTCTCAGATAGAGAGTGTTTTAGAATTTTTCCCCCAAAATGTCACAAGAAAAATAGTAATGAATAAAAATGTTTCTGCTTTAACATGTCATTGTAAAAATGTTTGATCAGCATTTTCCCATGCCTTCCTCCTTTACACTTCACTCTGGGTGCAGCCCTCTTCAGCTCATAGAGCTCAAAATCCAGTTTAACAGGCTGAGCTTTGGTTTAGACACAGAAACAGAGCAAAAAGTACTTCCTCCCCAGACAAAACCAGTTGAAATCAAAACCCGGAGATTAGTCTTAATCAAATAGCAAGCTTGCAGAACCAGATAGGGCTTTGTTACCAAACTAAGAGCCCCCTAAGCTATGAGAGGTGGCTCGGACCGATTATGATACAACATGTTACCCCCCCACCCCACACACATACACACTCAGTATTTTTCACACACAATATGACATTTGAACCTAATAAACATTCTCACAAGGACTGCCTTCTTTAGCAGGATATCAGCCCTCTTAATAATAGTTATCGCCCAGGAGAAAACTTCTTCCTCTCCGCCTAGAGTCCTTGAAGATCAAATCATCAATTCTTCCCACCGAAACTCTGGGAGGAACTGGGCTTATTCTGATAGCTGTTCAAATGTCAGCCGCGGGCCAACCCACGCTGGGAAAGACGGAGGTTTACAGTGCTGCTTTAGCCTGAAGCTGCGATGGTCCGGCTGATCCTAGGTCACAGCTTCCCAGGACCGAGGCCCTGTCCCTGGGGAGCCCTGCTGAAGTTCCAGCTATGTCACTCTGCCTCCTCAGCACTCACACAACAACACACACAATGCTGCGTAATGGCCTACATACTGCAGACAAACAGGAATATGCAAGCCTGACATCAGAGCAGACCTTCAAGATACCAGCTTGTGCAAGATATCTTCACGCAACACGGCTGCTACATGGTCTGGTCAGAACTCTTGGTTGGTCCAGACTAAAATATCTCATCAACTACTGGATGAATTCTGAATGAAATTTCAAACATATATTCATTGTCTGTAGTGGATTGATTCTGATGACTTATCCTCTGATGGCATCAACATGTCTAAGTTCATTCAACTCTCTTAAAATCTACCTGATGAATCGGATTCATGACAGATGATTCTAACACACTATGGTGAAAATGGTTTACCTGCTAAACATCAGCACCGGTATGCTGGCTCAAACCACCTCCTGACAGAGTATAACAGCAGACCACATCCTCTTTCAAAGGAGTTGATATCATGCACAACCCCCCCCCCCTCTCATAAGTGTCACCATAAAACTTGTAATAATTCCATTCTCATGGAAATCGAGGGAGGGTTGGCTGCTTCCCCAACAATGAGGATGTCTTTGTTTCCGACCTTTATGTAATCATTGATAACAGGAAGTAGTGAGGCATATGTTATGGTTGGAGCCACGGCCGGAGCTCAAGCCCTTCGTCAGGATTCCCACCGTCACTGAGGAAATGAAAGCACAGGGAAGCTGTCTTTATGGTCAGCCCATGAAGACATAAATACTCAGCGGGAGAAGCAAGACTTTCAATCGGACTGCAGAAAAACTGATGACTGGGCAAAGCACGAATTGCACAAGATGACACAAGTGTCATAGAATGATCACAGGAAGCCGATCAAAGTTGATGAGACACAAAGCAGCACTGGATTCATTCTGTTGACCTGGTAAAAAAGCAAACATTCTTTAGGAATGTGTGAAATGTGCTGCGTGGGAGGAGAAGTTTGACACATGTGGCTGTTTGCTAGACATGAAGAGTTGCCAGGGCTTTCAAGGTGCGGCTCCTCTCTCCACCCTTTGCAGTCAAGGCTGTCAAACTGATATGTGTTCTCAGATGCAATGAGGACTTTTTATGTTTGCATTCTGTATGGTTTCAGAAAATCAATCTATTGGCTAATGTGCAAATACAGTGATGTTGGATGCTAATCCCATGTCACAACGTAGAATCATGCCCTGCTGTGTTTGTGCTGCCCCTGCAAACAAAACACAGCTACATATTACATTGAAAAAGAGTTAATACCAGAATTGGATCCATGAAATGTTTCATTTTAGGGAAAAGAAAAGCAAGATGTAAGACTTTACGTTGCGCAAACATAATAGTACATTTTTAATATTGTGTAAAGTGTGTGACATCAAATAAAAAGGTATATAAAACTGACGTTTTACAACTTATATATCTCTGGCACTGTTTGGTTAAGAGTTTCTCACAGTGTCACTGTTAAAGTAGGAACCGATATGTGCTCGATTTGTGCTAGTCAGCGATACGAACACATAAGTTACAGATCAGGAGTTACCAGCCTGGTCCAAGTGCAAACTGTGCTGTGAGAGAGAAAGAATGAGGCAATCATTTTTGAGAGACAGGCGCAATATGAGGTTAACAGCTGAGGGTTGCGTCTGCAGACTATTGCAGTTCAGCAGAGAGGAACAACAAAGGTATCAATGGCCAACAACAGCTGGGTCTGCTTCCTCCAGAGAGTCACATTTGACGGATGAGGAACATGATATAGACTTTTCCACTGTGCAGCCACACAACAGGCTACATGACATTTGATATTTCGGTGGACATGTCCAGTCCGGCATAATCGTCTCGACATGACACGCAGAAACCTCAAAATGTTAATAATTCAGAGGACATGTGTCATTCTCTTGCTCTTTCTCATCTGGCAGATAAGAAACACAAATATAAGACATTCAACTGGCTGTAGAGAATATGCACAAGAGGGAGAAAGTGATAACTCATTCCCACAATCATTTCCTCCCGCCTGCATAGCCTCTGCCTCAACGGCTATTGCTCACCCGCTGAGAGACAGAGAGGATGTGCTAGGGAACGTGTATTCAGCAGCAACGAATAATAAGATAAGTGTGAACACAAACGTCATCATTATCAAAGTAAATTGTCAGAACCAGAGCTTCTTAGAGGCGAATCAACACTAGACTAAGGGATTTTAAAGACACAGTTAATAACATATACATTTATGTCCCTCGTTCTCTCAAATCTATTCAATAAAAAGATTTGATCAGTAATTTATGGATCTCTCCTTATCTAACTATATGAGGGAGGTGTCCTTTAAAGTGCTCTGTGGCACACCTACTCTTAAGTGAGTCATTCCAGTTCAAAGGATTTTATTGCAATTTATCTCGAAAGATTTTGGTTTCATTTTAATAAAGAAGCCAATAAGATAAGATAAATTATCATGATTACCGGGTCCTTGATGTGAACCGGCCACAGAACGCCTCCCACGCACGTAAAAAGTAAATCGGCACTTGATGCACAGCATCATCACATGATTTAATCTTAACATTAAAACTATTTCACAATCATGCCATATTTACTCAAGAATTTACAAAAACAAAAAAAATCTTTCTAAAGAGCGTAATAATCAATCTCAAGGCCATGGGCCCCCTTCAGCTCCAGGGCCCTGGGTATGTGCCTATCTTTTTAAGATTCTTAAACTGCTGTTTCAATTATCAGGGTGCAGTCGAAATTTTGGGCAAATTTAAAGAAAATCAGCAAAACAGAATGTGAATAAATGCGTTTCCATCAAATGTCAGTGTGCAGATTTTCTGCCAGTAAGAAATAATTAGGGAATAAAGGGGCTTTTATTAAGAGAATATGGTAACTCGTGACTTTTGTTCCATGCAATCTTATCTTTCTGGCCATATGTTACTTACACGCTATCAGAAAAACATACAACTAAGAAAGTGAAAGCATTTGAAGAATCATTCCTGTGAAAGCGAGCAGCTCTGCTCTTTGACACTTTTTGCTCACAGACACCGAGCTTCCTCTCAGTCCTCTCACAGAATGTGATGTTTTCACCACCTTCAGGCTCAGTGTGACCTTCCTTTGACAACTTTTATCTGTCACTGATGTGGGGAAACAGCAATGGCCGACAGAAAGGCAGAAGGGCACGTGTCAACACGCTAAGCACTGCACCCTCTTTTGACACAGCAGGAACGCACTTTTCCCACACAGACTTGGAAAACCAAACATGTTCTCACAACTGTTCTCCTACATGATAACACAGAGGTTTATGTAATCCTCTGCCGATGTAATCAGATCAGTACGCCGCTGAATTTTTTCTGTACAACCACCACAGAGCATGAAACATGGTGGCATGACTGAACAGCCTCTATAAAAGATAAACACTGTGCTTTATTAGAACAGAGGTATCCAACATCTCTGCCGGGCCCATATGCTGTGTGTGAGACTGGCCACAGGGTAGAACCAGGTCTCATTCACAGGTCTACTGCAACCAATTAGGTTTACTCATGATGCCACATCAAATAGCTGCTTAAAAAACTAATGGGATTAGCTGTTTAGACATGTTATTGTCCTGCTCGTGGGATTTTCATCTACAAGACACACATCTGAACCTGCAGGTTTAATCTCATTTCCAGATGTTTCATCCTCTGGCCATTTTTCACATGTGCTGGGAGTTTCAGAATGAAGCCTTGTGGAGCTTTACATCATCTGTCGCCAGTAATACATCCGCATTGCGAGGCGTGTGAATTTGTTCAGAACTGAGAAATCTCGGTATGATTTTAATATTACAAACAATCACTGGCTGCAGCTCCTCTGCAGCCCCAGAGGTGCAGCACTTCAGTCTCTCTGTAATGGAACTTTGTGTGGGCTGAGAACTCATTGACGTTGGCTCTCACATCACGTTCACATAAAAATGCTTTTGCAATGTCATATCAAGCAGAATAGGCACAGTTATCCAGACGACTACAGCAGCAGATTGTGCAGCAGATCAAACAGGCTGGCCTGGGGCGCATTATATCAGATTTCATTTTGAGTTGAGGCCCTTCATTCATTTCTGACATTTACAGTTGGATTGGTGTACCCCTCTCAGAGGCCTCTTGGCTCTCAGTCTGCACTGAGGCCCCACCAGCCACTCTGGAAAAACCCAGTGCATCTGACTTGCATTGCCTGGCTCCACTTGTGTGTTCTGTTTGGCCCGTGCCGTTGGAGGAGGAGAGCAGGCCAATTACCAGCCGCCGCTCTGAGACCAATATGATGTCATCGTCCCGCTCCGCCATAACAGGCTGCAGATGAGAGGGGCTGGGCCTCTCAGCAGCCTTATTCGCTTAATGAAAAGCAGGAAAGTATTAAAAAAAATCAAATGGTATCGAATATCTGTGAACATTAACATTTTTCTTCATCTTAACTTACTCATTATCCATTAAAGTGGCCTCTAATGCATCACAGTGCAGAAGACTGGAGATAGCAAAGATAATAGCTCACTGTTTATCTCATGAGCCAGAGCACCTTGTTTGAATAAGACTGATAACAGCCCATGAGAAAACATGGGTATGCCATTATGTATGAAGCGGAAGCTAGTTTTAGAGGCACAACCTTAAATGTGTTATCACTGCGCCCCACCCGTCAGGACAATCACCTGTTCCATGTGGGTGTTTTGCCCTTTCGTTTTCAGCCACATTCCTTCATTCCTTGAAATGCAGTAGGAAGCAACTGTGTCCTCACACATCTAAGGGGAAAGATTTACAACAACACGTTGTAAAAGAGTGACAAAGAAAATTCTCCGGCATACTGTTAAAGATGCAGGCCCATGCACTCAGTCACACTCCAAATGCTTGATTGCTAAAAAACCTGGAGCCTACTTCAGTGCAATACCCCAGAAGGCCTTGCATCCCGAGGAAGTCTTGAAGCCACATCAGAGAATCTGAGGGGGCCTGTGGGCTGCAACAGATCTCCTCTCATTTCCCCACATACTCCATCTCCAACGCCCACCAACCACACTCTATGTATAGACTCTGGAGATGATATAAAGCCTGAGCAGATAGCAGGCCACAGCTCAGTATAAACAAGTGGCAGCTTTAACTGTTTAGGTGTGCTCGGCTGTTATGTCCAAAGGGAAAAATGCATCAGTCTGTATCTGTAGAAAAAAACTTTGAGGAGAAAGGTATCTATTATCTTTTGGATCCGGAAGCGTTGCTATCTGTAGTTTTGCATATTGAGTGAAATGCAAATGATTGGAATAGTCGTTGACATTGTTTCTGTGTGTTTAGAGTTACGCAGTAGCTTTACTCTGCACGGGTGATCAATTTTGGCTAACAAGATTAAGAGGCTAACTTTCTAATATCAAGCAGGTGTAATGTTTAGCAAGTTAACCCTCTCAGTTTAGCATGTTAGCACGCTAATATTTGCGAACTAGCAACAAAACAAATGGTAGTGTTAATTACTTTGGAGGAAACAAATTACTTACTGATGTGCTGATATTAAACAGATGTGAAGTTTAGCATGTTTTCCATCTTTGTAAAAGTAACTTAACCTCATCTCCTCCTCACAGCTGAAGATACTTTATCAAAAATATATTGGTATTTGTAGTGGGAGAGTGAAAAGCCTTGACAGTAAATTCCTATCTAAATCTTCACAAGCCTAGGTTCAGATACGACTCCAGGGAGGGAGGGCGAAGCGAGGTCAGGCACCTAACCTCAGCATGAGCCGGCAAAGGAATGGACTTAATACCTTTACAAATGAAAAAACTATCGTTGTAATAATTCATGATTAATGAACGATAAGAAAAGCTGTGATTTTATTTTCGCTGAAAGTGTAGAGGTTTAAGAAGCATCAGCCGTGGGCCTTCATTGCAGTAATTCAATCAGAACAGGACATCCCAAAGGAGTCCCTGAAAATCTGAGGGGTTCCCAGTCGATCAAAGGGACAAAATGGCTTTTTTGAATCATGAAATATTGTTTCTGTCTTTTATGCTAAGCTAACTGGCTGCTCACCGTAGCCTTATATGTAATGGGCACTGAGAGTGGTCAGCTCTGCCAGAAAGCAGAGGTCTATTTCCAAAAATGACAAACTTTGGGAATGACTGTGTTGTTATGTGTTATGTCTCCCTAATGTCGCTATCAAATAAAAGCAAACAATACCAGAAATGATTGATCTGAGGGGAAACAGACCAGAGCTACCACTTAGACATCAAATTCAAAGCTCTGCTCATCCCGTTTGCAGGATTGATGACTTCACTGTCCTAAATTTGAGAAATGAAGGATATACTTTCATCCTCTTTCATGGGGGCTGACTCCTCTCCGAAGACCCCCACCTTGTCAATGTGTCTTTGGTTCTGTGTCATAGAGACTGTGTGAGCTATGCCCTGCTTCGCATTCCTCTGCCATCCAACCTCTGTCCAGCCAGGACTTTCCCACAGAACCCTAAACCCTGTGAATGAGAGTAGACCTTTGTTTCAGGCATTTTTCATCCTGATCCCGGCAACTTCCCCATGGTGGAATGCAATAGGAATGCCAGCGCCAGCTACCTGGCATTAGAGAGTCTTTGTGCGGAAATAGGAGAGGCTGAAGGAGAGAGCAGGTCAAAGAGGTTTGACAATGGATAGCTCACTTCTCAAGGTGCCCAGCCCATATTACAGAGCCAGTGAACCTGGGTCAGGCCTCTTAAACATGGCAAGGTGCATCAAGGAGAAGTGAAAAAAGGCTTTTTTTTATCTAGACCAGTTTCGCTATGAGCTCTCGTCACAAGATTTTCTCCCACTGTACAAATCATTAACTGGAGCACCGATGTAGCAACTGATTGGCATGTATACACAAGCACAGCTGAAATGTGTGTCTGCGGCAGTTCACAAGTTGTTGTGAGCTTATCACTGGCTGAGTGCTGGAACGGTGAGGCACTGGTTACCCTGAAGGTGCAATTCCATTCATTCCTGTATACTGAGAGACCAGCGAAGAAGAATTTTAATTTGAGGGATTGCCATGTGAAGAGGAGGATTTATTATGATACTGTCTAATAATGTTTAGATGAGTTTTTTACCTCAACAAGTCACAACAAGAGTTAATTTTTGCTATTGGCTTTTGTCTGTTTTTATTCTTCAGCTGATTCAAAGCACTGCTTCATCGAAATAAAAACACATCACACCATAAATAACAAATCATTCATACTAGTAGGACCCACGGAGGGGCCACCAGTGCACAGACATGGTGGAGTGCATGTCAGAGCAGGAGCAAGCTTTGAGGTAGGACGCTCACAAACTGACAGACAGTTACCTGGGCCCGTCAGTAAAGCCATTTCCCCTGTAACCTGAGTCGCCTGGCTTCCGAGATGATGGCTGATCTTCCCTGGATCCTGTGTCTGATGATAAGCAGCTGAGATAAGGCGCTAACGGAAGGGTAACGACAGAAGCATGAACACCAGGGTGGAGCATCAGGTCACACTGAGGAGATGCTACATGCGATGACCATTGTTACCAAGGGGCCTCCGCTCACCTCCTGTGAGAACCGATAACTGCATCCTGCTCCCGAGTCCTCACAGTTGGACGTGCCCTTCATAGTAAATATAAATAACCCAAAAAATAACTGAGATTGAATACATATCATTAGCTGCTAAATAGCAGTGTTACTTGCCATTTTGAGTCGACCAAAATGAAAGCGAATCCACCCCAACTGCAGTTCTAGTCCAAACCAAACCAGACCAAACTTGAGCTGCCCTTTTTTCTGTGCTGTTCACTTATAGAAGTTTGACTGTTCGACATCCACTTTCCTAGAAAACTCAGCAGATGTTCTATTTATTACGCTGCATCTGCCAAGAATCTCGGGGAGGACAACTGAACACGTGAAAAGAGAGGGGAAACTCAGTGTCGACCAGACTCCCCTTCCACCTCCTGAGAGGAAATTTTATGAACTCACTGGGGAAAGATAAGACTTCTTCCTCGACACGACTCCTCATACTACAAATTCCACTGAAATCGCTGCAGCGTGTTCACAGACCAATGCAGCCTATGTGTTTACACCTAAAGCTAACAGATACTTGCCATAATTCACCAGTATGACCTAAATATGAGCCAAGAGCTGCCATTCTGAAACTGGAGAGAACTAATCACAAATCCAGGTCATAGACAAACATTCCTGGATGGCAGTAGTCAAGGTTTACATCTGAATTTAGGGCCATGTACATAGTGGATTTTTTTTTTATAGAGAAAGTTGCTGGTAACGTTTTAGTTATATGCTCCTTTATCTGAATGTTTTTGTATATCAGAGGCACGTTATTCGTGGACATGTGCCTTCAGTTCTTGTTTGCTATTTACGAAAGCAGACTTCACCATGGCCACCAGGCCTGAGACTGAAAGATAACCATTTCCTATTTGAAACCTCATTATGTAACCAAAGGAAAGCTGTGTGAGCTGGCTGCCACCCCCGAAGCATTCATGACACTTTTCTGATAGATTCATTTACATAGAATCGGAGCAATACAGAGTCTTGGTTTGGACATTAAAGGAGAAACATCTCCCCTAACAAAGTCGTCTCTTACAGCAAGGCTAAGTGCAAAAGTCCAACTCATTCACGGTCTCGGTTCTAACAAGAAAAGGAGAAGTGTGTAAAGACAGTGCACAAATGAGTTCCTGTCTACCACTGTAAAAATAAAAACACAGGAAGAAACTTGTGATTTCAGAATGGAACAGACAGCAAAGAAACTGAGTCATATGTCTGTTTTAAAGAGTAAAACTCATTATGCCATAGGAATGAATAAGACGCATGAAGAAAACTTGTAGAAACTACAAAATAGACAAAACCGCAATAACTGGCAAAGTATAAACCCTTTAATACCTTTCCATTTAATTCCCCTCTAATTTCTCTGTAATTTGAAAATATCTTATTATATATATTAATTTTGTGTCCTATGTTTTTATATATATACTTAAAAAACGCCACAGCAAATTCCTTGTATGTGTAAACCTACTCTGCAATTAACCCTGATTCTAATTAAAGATCAGTATTATTGTTTTACTGTGCATTTTTGTTGAGTCAAACAACAATAAAATACATAGTTATATTCTGACTGGTGCTTAAATGTTTGGGCATTTTAAAGGAAATTAATTTAAGTTTGACCATAGTTATTTTACTAAAACTCCAAAATGCCAATCATCATTGTGCTAGAGGACGAGACGAATCCCTGAAGTCATTAATTCATCCTCTACATCCACAAATGTGCAAAACTTAGCAATATATCCAATAGCTGCTGACGCTGTGAAGTGTTGTCCCATCCATCAACCTGGCATTTCCATAGAGCCAAGCAATGAGAAGAGCTAAAAAATTATAATACAACCTTTGTATCTTTGCCAGCCAGTTCACAGTTCAACTCCACTGCTTCCTTACTGCTCCCTGCCTGTGTATGAACAGCATGAGGCTTCTTCTTTGACACAGAATGACATTATTATTGGAGATCATCAAAATATAGACCGAGGGCTGGAATACTGCTTTGCCATGAGTTGCATTTGAAGAAAAAAAATCAAGTCAGGCACAAGGCATTTATCTCAGCCTGTGAAATCCTCCACAAAAAAGGGAAAATTTAAGAGTGGTTCTCACATAGCCAAATTCCATTTTCTCCTCGACGCATCAGCGGTGTGCTCACCTAGTAACTGGTAAACACACATCAACAATGACGAAAAAGCATTAATGAACCTAGAGATATTCTCCAAAGAAAACAGTCTTAAGTGTTGCCACACGGCAAAGTCTGAACAATATCCCTGCTTCCACAGCCTATGTGTCTGCTTCAGCTGGGGGTTTGCTAATTTATTGTGTCAATCACTATCACTGCTGGAGAAATTCACAATACAACTGAAGGCAGTCTTCGCGAGCTGGTTAACACCTGACCGAGATAAAGGGCTGAAACTAAATTGGAGAGACTATGATCTGCCGTAAAGTGTCAGTATAACCACGTCCAGGGGCCAGAGCTCAACCTCAAACAATAGAGGCCGAGACCTCAGGCATGTGTGACACGTGTTTGAAAAGAAACTGAAACGTCCAGACGCTCAGTCAGGTTTTACAGGCTACATGTGGCCTTTGGCATGTTGCCGCCTCGATAGTGTCTGCAGGGGTCAATGTCAGGGTTGTGCTGGGCAGGTGCTCGTCAAACCCGAACCCTGACACATGGTCGAAACAACATGAATAAGTAATCAATGCCCCACAAAGAGAATAATGAGCTCCCTGGATATGTGTGTGTAATACTTTATTCAGATTCTAATGTTGTGGTTGGGTATCAGGGATGTATATACCCAACACCAAGTACTACCAGGCACTGACCAAGAGTATATTTACTGAACTTATAAGGCACATACACTTTTGAGGTTATAAAAGTTTGTGCTACTTTGCTTCCACTAAGTTCCAGCTAAACATATTGTACTTTTCAATCTAACACACGTATCTATTAGATCATCAACAATCATCCAAGAATGAATGTTACAGTTTGTAGATTAAACTACAAATAAAATGTTTAAAGTAGGTTCAGCTCTTCTCGACTATTGACCAGCTGATGTAATAATGTGATGTATAAAAACTCAGTATGCTAAAAGGTGCTATTCAGCATTATGGTAGTTTAAATATATATTTTTGCCACTTCTTCAATACTTATATGTTTTATTTTGATAATAATATTTCACTCTCAGTGCTTCTAGCTGTTTTTGGTCTCTACCAAGCCCTGAGGGAAATGTGGCTCATCGCTCATCTTTGTCAAAAAGCAAATGTTTGTTTGTTATCTTAAGTTCGGTGCTAGGCAGGTAGCGTTCCGATGGATTTCCTGAATCATTTAAAGTGAAACTTCTCAGTAAGACTGAGGCAAAACAGTAACGTTGCCAGCCAGAAAAAAAAAACTGTGGTGAAAAACGGTCGAAAACTTCATGGAGTTGAAGGGAACTGCAGACTTGGATGATGATTCTTTGTAGTTTCATTACGAAGAGTCCCCCCAGTCCTTACACGTTATAGTAATTTCATGCAGTAAAATAAAGAAATACTCTATAGCTGAAATATCTGAGTACTTCTAAACACAGATAAATCCATCTTTAAATCCACCTAAAGTGCCTCGAGTTATATCATTTCTTATTGTGAAAAAAATGAAACTGCCCTCTTAGTTTACATACATTAACAATCTTTATTATCATGACTGGTTCCAGCGTCACACAAGTCAGAAAATGTAATGTCACGCCACAAACACAATTCAAAACACCAAACCACATCTCTGACACTGCCTCAAGTCTAGACACATAACACACATATCTAGTCCGGGTCTTTAGTCTCAATGTGGGAGGAAGATAACACCTATGCAGAAAGCAGCTCCTATGCTACATGGCAGTGAGATGACTAAGCACGGGGCCTGCTGCCTGTGGCACTGTGCAGGCATGTTCCATTCTGTCAGAGCTCTGCAGCACATAGGCACCATTTCACACGGTCCCCCTGAATCCTGGCCAAACGAGTGGGAACTTTAGAGGCTGTGCTGACAGCCTATACCGAGCACTCAATCGCTGTGGTTACAACTGCAACGTTTAAACTCCTTTCATTGTGAGATGGTCTCTGCAATGCATTTTATAAACAAATACATACAGATCTAAAGTGCATACATTCTGAGCTCAGGTGGTTGAGAGATGTGCTGGTGTTGGTGCGTCGCCAAAAGACAAAAAGATGAAGGTGTTAAAATTGGTTTTGTAATAGCAGGTAAAAGGAATATAGATAGTTAGAGGTAGTGATAAAATACAATAAATAGTCAGATGTTGATTTGATTTTTTTGTTGTTGATGTTTTTTCAAATCAGACAGAATCACTTCATTGTTCTTCATGAGTGACTCACACATTTAACCGCAGTGTGAAAATGAGCACTGAGCCCTATTGCAGGTATTTCCCCTCAAACAGTGAACATCTAAGCTAAGCATTCTCTTCAAACCACCCCCCCAGTATCAGTGAGCACGTTCACATTGTGTGTGGTCTGAGTGGAAAACCCAAGAGTGTTTCAAGTCTTGAACGCCACCTACTGTTGTCTGGCAGAAATTACGATGCTGGTGTAAAATACACAGTACCTGCAGTATTTCTGAGGTCACACAAAACATTTAATCAGTCGCTATTTTACAATAATTATTTGAAGCAAATAAGTATTTAATTCATTAAATTCATGTACTTTCCATCTCAGACCAATATTGAACCTCGTCTCACACTCATCCGGAGAAGTCAGGTTGTCGTCCTTCCTCTTTTGAACCTCTTCTGTACATTAACATGTATGCTGTGTCGCTGTAATAACAAGACAGAGATGTATCAAACAAAGTTGTGCCTCTCAGACACGGGGCAGGAAAAAGGATGAAAGGGACAAAAGATTTACCAGACATAAAAAGTGAAAATATAACGACCAGGTGTTTGGGAAAAAGATGTTTGTTGTTGAAAGACAAGAAAGACAAGATGGATTTCCTCTGTTTAGAAGTTCAAAAGTTTAAAAAGCCCTCGCTGCAAAAACACGGCCACCTTTAGTCTTTAATCCTCCCTGAGGAACAGACAATAAGGCTTTGTCTTAAGACTGTTTCCGCAAGTAGGAAGATGAAAGCTCCATGATGTCAGTGGAAGTCAAGCAGTGGCTTTAAATGTTGTTGATGAAAATCTTAAATTCAACCCTAAAAAGCCGCTGGAGGCTGGTTGAAGCAGAATATTTAAGTGACCTTCACTAAAGCTGACAATTTTGAGAAATGCACATTTTGATCAACTATTAGAAAGTTGAGAAAGATCGTCAAGGTATCGTTATATCTACAAATTGTGCTACCAAACATGAACATGTAATTGTAAAATAACTCTATGATAAGTGGCTGTGGCTTATAGCTTCATGTTTAACGTACAGATACACTTGAATCAATCTTGTCCTCCTTTAGAGAGAAAGTGAAAAGGCCTTTACAAGAACAGACATACCCATGAGATCTTCCATATGCTCTCTGCACTTGTTCCCAGGAGACCTGTGTGTTGAAATAAAAAGCCAGAATTAGTTACAAACTTGCATAATAAACAATTAAGAGTAATACAAAACCTTCAACAAGCAGGAGTAAAACTTACTTCACATCTGTACATCATAATGAAGTAGAGTCAGGAATAACCTGCATTCAAATGGGGGATATTTTGTCTTATTGAACAAACCTGCTCGATGTGGCTGTCGTCTGCATAGTACCAGAGCTGGCTCACCCTATGACGAACATAGGCAGTGTAGTGCCCGAACGCTGCACCACCAGAGTGCACTACCACGGCATACAAAGTGTAGTTGCACTCATTCTAGAAGAAGAAATAAACTTTTAGATGACAAAAAACAGTATCCAGATAGTGCATAGGAAATACAAGTACCTGGGCAAAGTCTGCGGAGAATCCATCTCCAACGGTCTGAGAGATGTCAAAGGTCTCTGGAAAGGTCACCCTGCAATCAAGTTTTCTGATGTAACCATTGCTGTTCCGAAACCGCTTCAGGTGCACGCACAAGATACGAGGCAAGGAGATCAGTTTGACACCCTGAGAGACACAATTTAATGTATCAGTGGACGATCGCGTTAGTTAATATCTTCGGGTCACGTCTGATCCAAACCTCACCCGTTTAGACGGAGTCTTGCTTCCACATTGTGGACAAAAGCAGCTATTTCTGCCCCTTAACTCCTGATCCTCTAGGAAGGACGATATGCAACCTTCCTGAAAAAGTCAGAAATATTGTTAAATCTTTTAAATTTTCTTTCTTAACGACAGTTTGATTAAAGAATCAAGACCACTTTCACATCTGGACAGTCAGTATCAGCAGCTGCTTAGCTTAGCTTAGCGTAAAGACTGGAAAACACTAGCCTGGTTCAGTCAATAAGTTAAAAACTGTACACTTTTGTTTACGGGTGGTTTAAACAGCCGAGATATGATTCAGCAAGTGAGAGTTAAGAGGTGCCAAGCTAAGCTAATTCACAATAACTCATACCTGCTGTACAGACATGAGTCAATCCTCTCGTCAATTTCATGGCAAAAATTCTCATTGTTTAAAACTATGCACAACAAAGAAACTGCACCAGAGAGTCGTGATCTTCCTTCACATGCAGAGGCAGGTTGAGCAGGAAGCTGGTCTGAGTCTGGACGGAGCTGCACACCAAACACTGCAGGTGAGTCTCCACAGAAACCTTGTACAGATCCTGGATTTCAAGAGCCTGGCGGAGGAAACACAGGTTAGCAGACATATCACACATACCAGGTAGAAAAAGTCAGAATACTAAAGGTTACAGGCCGACCAGCGCTTTGTTGTCCATCTGTTGCTGTATGAAGTTCAGGATGGAGAGGAAGACTTCATCGCCGTCATGCTGTACACTAACTACAAAACATTTTCACGGTCACAATGGGAAATAAACAACAGTGTGAGACGTTGACTGTGTGAATCTGTGCGGCTCTTACGTCGAACACGGTTTCTGTCCAGACAGTGAAGGAAGTCTCGATGGGGAACGTGCTGCGGGAGGTCGCTCCTCATGGCTGCGAGAACTCTCTTCAACTGCAGGGGGACGTTATGAATGTCCCCTCTCACACCAGCTGATTCCCACCTTTGTGCAGTTTGAAAAAACCATCATCAATCTTCATTCATTTAACAATTAAGAATTGAATGAGGCATGAAGTTTCATTTAATTCTCTCAACCTAAATGTGGGAGGTCACACAAGATAATAACATGTACATATATTCACTAAAATCAGGATTTACCACTTTGCTCTGAGGCATCACTTCCTTGTAGGTCAGCAATGTAAACATACAACTTCATTTTCTTACTGTTCCAGCAGGTCTGATACCTCCCAGGTCGCAGAGAGGGTCTGCAGCAAGGTGTTGACGCAGCAGGACAGATTGTAGTTGGCGAGACCTCTCATTCCTGGAACAGACCACTGAAAATATTAAAAATGGATGAAAGTAGCATATTATCCATGTTTGGATTCACCTGCAATACTGTCAATACTGTAACACACAACACCAAAGGTTTATATACAATGTCTTTAGGTGAATATTTCTTTTACTCGCTCCATTTAGAAAACATCACTTTACAGGAAACACACAACTGAGAAACAGAAACACCTGTATGACGAAGCAACAAATATCTAAACACAGACACAACGTCATAAACAAACTGTAAAGTTGCATTACACAACAGCAGTGTACAATGGAACACATAGCTAATGTATTACAGTGCAATAAAACAATATCAATCATTTATAGTCGTGTTTAAGCAATTTAACAAAGATTCAGTATATATTCGTTTAATTCTTATATTGATTTAATCTTTGCAGTGTATCTTTATCTTGACGTAATATTTGGAAATATCGTCCAGCCCTAAGTGTACAAGAGATTCAATTTGTCTGTAAAGTATTTATAAAAATCACATTCAGCATCAAACCACCATCATCACACAGGAGAAAGCTGTAAGTCCTCTCACCGTACTCACGGTCCCGACCTATAAATGACGAATACAACCTGTACATCCCGGACAACATGAGGTCGGGCTTCACTTCTTCTCCACAGGACTCGAACGTTGCTTGTGTTTTTTAAATCGCCTGTCTGCGTGAGTCGTTCGTCTCTCGTTTCCCAGTAAACGTCACATCCACAGCAGCTTCACAGGATCAGTTTCACTTTGCAGCTCCGTTCACAGAAAACGAAACCTAACAGCTGCCATGCGCGGATTTCAGTGACACGTTTCATTCAACTGCATGAGCGTTTTGTGAAGATTGCTCAATTTACTTTCCTACAAAGAGTGAAACTTAAATTAAATAGCGTTAAACTGGGTTTCATTTATAGCAGCGTGGTGTTGTGATGTAATATTCGCCATTGTCGAGATTAGACTGGATTTTTTTCCAATGGGAAATTTAGCCGATATTATGACTGATGTGATTTCAATAGATTTTAATTTCGAAATTCTATCATATTTAATAGTTAAATTCCATAAATGAGTCCTGATGTTTGTTCACTTGTGGATATCCTCAATAATCAGGTTTAATTAATACATTTTATTTCAAGTTTTCCCCTTTCTTTGTTTTACCTTTAACCCCAAGTCTGATTAACTCCTAAAATCTATAAAACACACAACTTGACTAAGATTTGTATTTGTATTTATTGTATTCATTGTCATATTCTGTCACCAATCATTTGTATGTCTTACATTGACATTTTGATGACACGTGTTGTGTTGATCCTTTATTATTTCTTCATCATTCTCAGTTATAAGTGGTGCAGGAACTGCTGCTCCTTTAAAATCTGGTTAAATAAAGTTATTGTTATGATCAAGAGGGGGTTGTCTTCATAAGAAAATATGTTATTGACAGCAACAAAAAAAACTGTGGTTTCAAACTAAAAATTTACAAATATGCATAAAACATGTGTTTTTCTCTGTTTGTTGATACAACTGATTATTTGTTTTCATAGGTATGATGACGCCAATGCCCAACAGCCCGGTTAAATTAAATCAAGTCGCACCAAACTGCACACATTCATACATCTCCCAAATGTGCCTAATTTTTTCATCCAGATTCATAAATGATTCCCTGGGAAATTAGTGAGAATGTCAAAAACAATCTCGCAACGTTAAAGAAAGTGAAAAGTGCCTCTTACAGGCCAAAATATAATTAGTTCTTTCTTGGCCCTTGTCTCATCCTTCCACCAAGTTTTGTGTAAATCTGTGCATAGTTTTCCAAAATCCTGCTGCAAACAAACAAACCAAACAATCAACCTGATTGGGACAAAAGCATAAGATCCTAAGTGGAGTTAACTAAGACATCTGCTCTTACTAAAACATAGAAATGTGTCACAACTATGGACAAAACACAAAGTGTTTTTTAGTCTACTACAGTCCTTTGCTTTGAGTGAGAGAATGGTAGTACGGTGCAAACATGGTGCTCCACATCTGTTTGAGCAGCTCAACAAGTTTGGAAATCCACAGGAATGATGACGGGAGAGCTGAGGGAAAACAACAGGGAGAAATACACCGATTTATTTCAATCATAAGTTTTATACTTCAACAAACCCGGTGATGGAACTGAGATGCAAAGAACATTTTATCCAACCTGGATCCATTCGGAGTAAGAGCATGTAGAGAAGGACAGCTGCCACAAAGATTCTCCGCAGAGAGAATGATCCAGAGCCGGTCATAAAAAGTTTTTTGTGTAAAAAACGGAGCATGGCTATGAGTTTATGGACGACAGCACCTGTAGAGCATAAAAACACGAAATGAGACCGTCTATATTCAATAATTATACTTCTATCTAGTAAAATGCATCTAAAAGACCAGTAGTCTGTTACCTTTATTTGAGACACTATGTGGAGAGTTTGGGTTGCAACCAGGATTTAGAGGCGGCCCTAGATTCTGTCGCTCTCTTTCATCTACAACATCCAGCGCTGTCTGTCTCTGGTCTTCCGTGAACGTCCTCCCTCCAACCTCGCCGACGACCAACTCCCGTGCCTCATCCGTTTGTCCGAGAGGGACGAGGACATGCAGCAAGTACAGTTCTGCGACTGTCGCGAACCCCGACACTTTGCTGTTGGACGGGCAGTGTAACCAAACTCGGGCTGCCTCCTGCATCACAGCCGGCTCACCCACCTTAGAGTAAAGAAGTATGCTGCCAATAATAACATGAGAAGATCAATTTGATATGTATGAGAACTGAAATGATTGATTGATATACTGGTTTAAAACAGATAATAATGAAAACCCTCCTTAACAGGGAATGATTCCTAGTTGTTTGCTTGACAACTCACTAATACGATTCATTCATTACCAAAAATGTGAAGTTAAATAATCTTCTGCTGAGTCGGTGGATTAACAGACTGTTTGAGTTCCACTCACCACATCTGCATGATCTTTGCAGGTATATCCTCCTGCTGCTCGTACTGCTGGAGGACCCAGGGGAGGACCCCGGGCCACCGGTTGAGCTCAGCCAGAGCTTGAATCCCTAAAATGCAGAGACCAGCCTTGAACTCCGCGGACCTGTGGGGACAAGAAAATACAAGAGACACACACAGTGACACACTTGACCCCCAGGCTGCAGGGAACATGTGAGCTCCAGACTCTCACCGGCTGTCCTCTGCCTCCACGCAGAGACTCTGCAGACTTCTGTCACATGTGTCAAACGCTGCCTGGAAATCTCTGTGAACCACCATTTGCTCCGCAGCCGATTCCAACATGTTGAGCATCTGCGTGGGGGCTGCTCGAACAAACACCGGTTAAACAGCCGCAGACGACTCGAAACCTCCTCTTCGCAGCACCGATGGATGCCGCTTCACGTTCAGAAGCTTAGTTTATAGCTGAGAGTCGATTAAAGTCGTGAAACCCGCGAGTAATTCTCCTTCACGCGTTGTTTACGTTCCACAATCTCTTCCACTTCCTGGTTGAAGCTGGGAGCCAATCAGAAGCCGCGGTCTTCAGACTCCCCGAAATGAGCCAATCGCGTTCCGGCTTCTTCGGAAACGCGTCCTTCCGCCTCTCCTCGTCTCCTGTAAACACGTGTAAGGAACGCGTGAGGACATTTAATCATTTAAATCAAACTACGCACTCGTGAAGTAAGTGATGTTCACTGTTTGCATTGCGCCAACACACTTAGCATGTCGGATAAGCTAACGTTAGCTTTTAAGGGTTTCCTTGCGAGATTTTCCACAGTAGCAACTCCACAGCTAACTAGCTAGCAAACCATGGTTAGCTTAAATTAAGTATAAAGCTAATTGTTGTTGTGGCTGTTGCGAACTGACTCACATTCATCTTATACAGCTTCAACGTGTTGTTGACAGCGTGTAGCTTTGTAATCAGGTTGACATGTGGACGAATGTGTTTTACATTTTTAATACATGTATGATCTGGTATCATGCGAGTCGCCATTAGCTTCCAATCTTTAAAACAAACATCTCTTAAACTACTAATCTTCACTCTTCATCTGTCGCGATTTAACAACATAAATGTCCTTTGTCACCATCGTGACTGGTTTTATGAACAAAGAAAACATATATATACATTTTAGTGTTTTATTAAGAACCATAATCTGTCCATACTCGTTGAGGGACGAGGATCCAAGATTAGGTGAAATGCCATGAAGAGCTTCCTTTGCATGACACATCTTCCACTAACTAATGACTGATGTGTTGTTATTTATTACAGAACATCCTCAAAATGGCAAAGAGCCTGCGGAGCAAGTGGAAGAGGAAGATGCGCGCAGAGAAGAGGAAGAAAAACGCCCCCAAGGAGCTGGCTCGTCTGAAACAGGCTCTGAATTTGGACAAGAAAGGAGAAGCTGTCATGACTGACATGCAGGAGATCGCCACCGTGGTGCCGGCGGACAAGATCAAGAAGCAGCAGGATGTTGATATGGCGGCGGGGGAATGTGACGGTGAGTGTCTGAGTGATGGCCCACAGGCGATTAACAGTTTGATCTGTAGCTGTTTTTCAGACATGACCTTTGATCATTGCCTTTTGTGTTACAGAGGGGAAGATGGACCTGGACGGAAAACGCAACAAGACAACGCTGTTGGATGAAAACGGACAGTACCCTGTGTGGATGAGCCAGCGTCAGGCCAAGAAACTGAAAGGCAAACGGATGGCAAAGAAAAGTGGAAAAGGCAAGAAGAAGAAGGGCATTTCCTGGTGAACCAGAGGAAACTAAAGGATGTTTTCTTTGCTTCAAAGACTTTTTGTTGCAGAAATACGGGATCGTTTCACGTACTGATTTCTACACTGCCTGCTGTGGGATCCTTCACTCGAGCAGGCCTGCCATTGTAAAGTAATCCACTGCAGGAGCATGTTGGTTGTGATGGAGCAGCCGCTTCATCTTCATGTTCAGAAAGTTTAGATTCAAGTTTGATGAAAATAAGACTTTATGTAAAACATGTTTGTCTGAATACATCATAGCAAAACAGGTGATTGTCATTTATTCTCCACTGCAATTTAAACCTGTGCTTATTCTGATAAAAAAATATTAACTGATCCATGGCTTGCATTTATTACTACATATTGTTTTGTGTTGTATAATTTAAGACTCGTTGATATGATTAAAATCGTAGCTGACCTGGCGATGGCTCTGGATAGAGGGAGAGTAGTTTGTGTTGTTAGTAAAAACACTTTTCAGTTTTAAACCAAACTCTGCATCAAGTCACTTTGTATTTAAACTTATTATATATGATCATGATGAAATACAATTCCAGTGAAAGATGAGAAATGATCAAAGCTCTACACAGACATTAATGTCAAATAACAAAACACACAGAATCCTGCCTGTAGAATAGTTCATTGACTCCAGTTTATTGTCAGGATGCACGTGAACATTTGTTGGTCATATTATTTAAGAGAGTCATCACCACAGAGTGAGACACAACAGTAAGATGATTGAAATCATCTGATCAGAAACATTTATTGTATAAATACAGAGCTGAATTCCCTCTGTTGAACAACCTGAGAAATCTGAGATTGTTTAAAGTGAAGCAAAAAGTCCCAAACTACTTGAGCTGAACGTAAGCAGCAGGGAACAGGCCGGTGCGTCCATGACACTCTCCCTTCCACCAGCCTTCGTCGATCATCTCTATGTTGGTGATCACATCGTCCGGGTTGAAGGAGATCTCATCGTCCGCGTCTGTAGAAATGAGATCGCAGGATTTGTCCCTGTGAGTGTGAAAGCAATGGTTAAATGTAAAAATATGAAGCGTGGAAGACCTACCTCCCTGATAGTCGTAAATGGCTACTGCCTGCCTTCCACCCGTCAGGTCTTCATAGTCATTGTCCACAGCTGTAAGAAAAAAAACGGAAATTAACGTGCACTTCACATGCAAACATGTTGATGTTTTAACTGCAGCCGACTCAGAGGCAGACCTGTGTCCGCAGGAGGAGGAGGAGGATGTCGTTCAGCAATTTCCTCATATTCCGCGTCATCGTACTCCACCTCTGCCGACCTCTCAGGAAGCGGTGGGCCTTCAGGTTCGAGTAAATCTTCTGAGCGTGGAGGCAAAGCTGGAGGCTCTTCGTACTCTGGTTCATCCTGCAAACATCACAGAAGCATTGATTTCAACATCGCAAATCCTGGAGAACACACCGAAGAGATTCAGTCTGAACTCCTGCGCCAGGAGCTGAGCGGAAGTTTTGGTGGATGAACTAAGAAAGTGCTGCATTGTTGAAACGAAACAAAAAAAAACAGCAATCACAGACGCTATACTTGAAAAAGACAGATTAAATGAATCTGTTATTTGATTTGATCAGAGATTCTTACGTCATACTCAGGCTCTGGCTCAGGCTCTGGCTCATATTCTGGTTCAGGCTCATATTCTGGTTCAGGCTCTGGTTCAGGCTCTGGTTCTGGTTCTGGTGCTCGTCTTTCTTGTATCTTTGGCACGTGATGGTGTATTTCTGCTGGCATTTCGTACTCTGGAGCCACATCTGGAACAGGAGGTGGACAGCTTTCCTCCTCTTTGCTGCTCTGCTCCTACAGGAAAAAACTAAATCTTGAATATAAATGTCAAACATTAGGTTATGTTTCAGTTTACAGCTCATGGTTTTACCTGCTGTCTACGTTTGGCCTCCTCTCGCTCTCTCTTCTCTCTGGCCTGTCTCCTCGCTCGCTCGTCTTCTACTTTCTTCCTGTTCTCCTCGTCTGAAGCTTTGGCCATGTTCTCAAAACGAGCCTTCAGCTTTCCTGCACCCACTGACGCTGCAGAGAAACAAACGTAAACATGAAAACGGTGCAATAGCAGTGACGTCCAACACTGGTGATGATTTAATGTTTGTTGGAGGAAGAGAATAAAACATACAGGCCTCCAGGGGTTGTGTCTTTTCATAAGCAGAGGTCGGTGCGTCCATATCTGAGAAGCCGACTGCGCTCTAAGGAAAATGTATAAATGTATAAATCGTCAAAATTGAAACATTACAGTCCTGCGAATAAGTAATTCTTTAATGCACGGCCAATCTTCACTTTCATATTTACAAGTTTAAAATATATATACAACAAAATAATGTTGATACTGTAGGAAAGGGTGCAGGTGCATATTAGGTGCAACCTTACTGTGTTGTTATAAGTCTGTAAATTAGCTGCAGCCGCCTGTTACAGTCTAATTTGTGATGAGATGAAGATTTCTTTTCCACAAGATAAATAACTAACTTTGTGTTTTGTGTTTAATCAACATTAATCTCGATGTTACCTAATTTAGCTTTGACATAAATCAAATTTCTACATTCCTTCCAGGAGGAAAATCTCATTTCCTATGATTTAATCACAGTTTGCAGAATAAACAATAGATTAATTAACCCTGGCTGATGAATCAATGAATGAAAACACTGACCTTATCTTGGCGGTCGGCCTGTACTCCATATCGACCACCGAAACCTGCTGAATAATCTGAACAGACAGGAGTTTGTTCAGTCAGATAAACTTCACTGATTTTCCTGTGACACACGTGTGAGTGTTGTCTCACCTTTTTGGGACTGATGTTTCTCCGTCGCCCCTTTATAGTCGTAGCCCAAAGCTGCTTTATCCACTTTCTCCTTCTCCACGCCGAACTTCCCCCCGAATCCCTTTGAATAATCTGGTGAAAATGAACGTTAGATATTAGACGTGAGGCAGAAGACGATGGAGTCAAACTCTGCGACTCAAACTCGCCTCTCTGTGACTGATGCTTCTCAGTTTCTCCTTTATAGTCGTAACCCAAAGCTGCTTTGTCCACCTTCTCCGTCTCCACGCCGTATTTTCCTCCAAATCCCTTCGCGTAGTCTGAAGAGAACAAGAAGAAAATTAAAGAAATAACAAAGCAAGTTGTGGTGCTAATTAAAACAGCTTGAACTCACCTTTTTGCGACTGGTGCTTCTCCGTCTGGCTTTTATATTCGTACCCCAGAGCGGCCTTGTCGACTTTGTCCTTCTCCACTCCGTACTTTCCTCCAAATCCCTTTGAATGATCTGGAGCCAGAAAAGATTGTCAGCAAAATCCTGAACGAGGCCTTTAACCCTCTGTTAAATAGAAGAGTATAGTTTTATATGAACAGTTGACCCACCTCTCTGAGATGCATGTTGCTGCACTTCCCCTTTGTATTCAAAGCCCATGGCAGACTGCACAGAAAACAGTCATAACTTATACTGATCATACTGAATACAGCTCAAAATACCTTGTTGCATAAAAACAATCAGACAATTAAATAAATGATGAAGAGGCAACTGAACTGTACAATATGTTCTATAGTTTTACTCCTTAATATCAACAGCTGCTTTTCTACAACATCTTGTTTTAACTGTGTACTAGTGTTGGAGTGTTTAAGATCCTGCAAAGTATGGAGGCACTAAATCATTCAGAATTTTAAAAAAAAAGAAGATATATATTATATATTTCAAAGACGCTGAAACAGGTTTGGTTTCACAGACTTCACAATCTTCGAACCTGGTCAACACGGTCTTTCTGAACGCCAAATTTCCCGCCAAACCCTTGTGCCGCATCTCTCTGGGAGGAGTGCTGCTCGACCTGGGACACATAGTCGTGACCCACAGCCACCTGGACACAAGAGGAGCGTTCAAGACCGACTTCAGCCCATAGCATGAATGATGGCAGCGTATGAGAGGAGCATGTTATATGTTTGGGTTATATAGTGTGGGGTGTTGACCTTGTCCATTCGGTCCCTCTCCACGCCAAACTTCCCTCCGTATCCGTACGATGCTTTAGGAGTTTGTTCTCTCTGCTTCACCTGCTCGTGCTCCGAAGCCACTTTGCTTCTGAGCTCCGCAACGCTGGCAAGAGTCACACACACACACACACACACACACACACACACACACACACACACACACATTGTGGTCAAAATTACTGCACATACACGTAAACACACATGTATACAGACATTTACACACTAATACACATACAAACAAACTCAAACTTATACAAACATATACACTCTTATAAATAAACTCTTATACACACACATACACACAATTATCCACATATACAAATATATACACACTTATAGACACATAAACACATTTCTGTTTTCTCAAGGAGAAGAAACCACGTTTGGCTTCAGCTGTCAGCAGTCCTTTAAATCTCTCTGTCACTGTGTCATCATCATGAATTACCCATATTAGGAGACAGTAGCTGTCTGACGGCCGCTGCTCTGTTCTCACTTCCTCTTCCTGTTGCTACACATCACCACACTAGTCTCTGCGTTTGTCTCCTGCGTCCCCCTTTACCTGATGTGCTCTTTGCGTCCTGAGCCCTCGATGGTCTTGGCTCCCCAGCGCTGCTCCTGCTCGGATACGTCATTCTGAAACGCAAAAAGAAAATGAATCCAGAACAGAAGAGGAAGGTTGTGAGCATTTCAGCGTTTTTTTCTCCTCAGCACCTCGAAGTCAGGGTCCGTCTCCCAGTCATCGCCCCCCGCAGCCACCTGCTTGCTCACGTCGTGGCCCACGACCGACTTCCACATCTGAGGGGGGAAAGAAAACACAGACCACAAAGGGAGGCTGCATTAAAACCATGAATTTAAAAAACTCACACAACACCACAACACTGTTTGCTGAAGTTCCAAAAAGGAAGTGGTTTTCAACATGGAGCCTCATTTCCCCTCAACGAAACACACAGCGGAGGCTCGAGCTGTGAACTGATCTAAAAACAGCCAAGAAACAGCAGATTATTTATTATAGATCATATTCTCTGACACCTTAGCTTTATGATGGAGGCCACAGAGGCTGCTACAACTACTTACACTGGTCAAACACTATGGCAGGGACTATTAAGGGCTGTCAGTAGAAGCGAACTTACTTTAAAGTTTATTTTTATTGTCAAAATGTGACTATGAATTATGTTTTTTTTATATTTTGTAGACTTTAAAATAATCTGACAAACTAATTACACGAGGGAGGCTTGACATTCAAGAGGAATTCATTAATTACCACTTTCATACTTAGTTGAATTTTCTTTTATGATCATATTTTGCTGTGATTAATGGCAGAGCAGGTGCATATTCAGTGTGATGTTAATCCCGACAACTTGACTGTGTTGTTAAACTTAAAACTTAAACTTATACTAACGGTTCACAGCAGTGGATTCATTTCACCTACTTCCTTATTGAAAGTGGGGAAAAAAACTCAGCAAAACTTACAAGTAAACTTAAATATATGTTTGTGAGTTAGTTTGAATTAGATTTCTTATAAATTGTTTTACCTCTTGACTCTTCAGTTGGATGAATCCGTGTTGAAGTGGATAAATATCAGGAGCAGCTCAGCTTCCTCACGCTGACTGTGTGATGGGCGGCACGTGAACGAGCACGCAGCTCAGCGGGAGCGCGGGTCGATGTAAATAATAGAACGGACGTCGTCGCTGTAAACGTCACAATGTTCCTGATGACGATAATAAAAATAATATTAATAATAATGGAAAATATTTTGTCGCACTTGTAGAATTTTTATTTAAAGATATTTAAAAAATAGAAAATTGGTTATCGATAATTATTGTTATTAGTAGTAGTAGTGATAAACGTAATAATAATAATAATAATAAAATTGCCACTGTCTGTTTCTACAAAAAATATTATTATTACTATAGTAGTCAAGTAATAACAGTTATAAGAATAATAATGAACTAAACTATTTTCATAATTACAATTATTACCATTAGTAGAAAAAGTCATAATAATGATAATAATAATAAAGTGCCAGACAAATGATCAGTTATTATTATGAGTAGTGGATTATTATTATTATGACTATTATTGTTCTTATTTAAGAGCAGAAAATACTGTGGTTTATGAACTTGTAACACTGTTGACACACTTGGGGGCAGACTTGCAGTTTTTAACGCTAAAATTTACAGTAAAGGTAAAAACCAATAATCATATAATCAATGATCATAATGATTGAACAATTAATTAATCATTTAATTTTTCTTGTTTTTTAATTATTTCAGGAAACAATTTTAAAATTGTGTAAACAGTAATTTATATATTCTAGGGTAAATCAATTTAAATGATTAATCAACAGTATTTTTTTCCAGATGTAATCCAAACTCATCATTTAAATATTATACATATTTAAATCTAATCTTGACAACAACTCTACTGATCATTCGAAGTTTTAAGCGTGGTGGTGATTTTAGTGTCTGAGTGATAACAGTGTGTTTATGTCATTGTTGTATTTTTATAAGACCATTCAATGTTGTGCATTTCAGATTAACTGTAACATTAACTTTCAGAGGCTGTGATGATCATGTCTGAGAAAATAGAACAAAAGACTATGTTGTTTAAAACGTAAAAGTATTTCAAAGCTAAAATGAAAGAAAAGAGATTTAATTAAACCGAGTCAAAGTAAACGGAGGAAAAGTCCCGCTGTGTTTTTTCTGGACAAATAAATGAGGAAATAATTCATCCTTGACGAGATGGGCCCCTGATCTAAACCACCGACACTTTAATTACATTTTATTTTTCTATACAGCCCTTTTAAACAGTTATTTACAGCAGATGTGAAGAAGGTTAATTCAGAACGAAGGGGAGTATAGAAGAGTCGTTTAACAAAAAGCCAGTGATTTAACAGGAAGTGATGTCGATATCAGTGAGGATAAAGGACGGTTTAACATTTTCAACTAATGATCAATAAATATTATGCTGCGTCAGAGTAGTGAATAACATGATGGATAATAAAACAGCAGTCTTCCTCCTCAGGAATGATTCCACACTGTGGTTACATTGCACTTTAAGGCAACTTCATCTGCCATAAAAACTACACAGCAAACTGCAAAATCTACGTCTGTGCAACAGAAGCAAGGACAGAGAAGAACTCTATAATGACAGAGGGAAGCCCACATCCACCTGACAGAGATCATACGTGTGTGCATACGTGATTTTTAGAGGAAAGTAAAAGAAACGCACACAAGAGGAATGTGTCAGAACAGAAATTGCACCGTGCTCCGTTATTTTGTGCATGAATGAATCGAAGAAGAAGAGACTGAACAACAACATCAGGTCCTGAACCTCGAGCTATGAGAAAAGAAAAGTTCAACAGTTTGAGAAATTAAATTATTCCCGTTAGATCCATAAAACCCTCATGTTTGTCTTTTAAGTGTAAACTGGAAACAGAGAAACACAGGTGGAAGAAGTTCGTGACCAGGATTACTCTCTAGGTATTTTTCTTCCTGTTGGTCCTTGGCAGAAGTATGTACTCTACTGGTTGTGATTCTAGTTACTTAAGTACCAGTATCACAGTACCAGTACCACAGAAGCACGACATTACAGGTAAAAGTTCTCAAATTTAAAATTCTGCTAAAGTATTTCCTGCAAAAATCAAACTGATATTAGTATTTTGGTACTGACTCATCAGTAGCTGATAAAAGGTTTCTGGAGGTCGTACTCAAATATATAAATCTGAGGCGTTGGGAGATTAATAGTGAGAGAGTTAAGAAAAGCTCTGATACACAAATGTTTTTGGAATATTCTCTGATATTCGTTGCGTTACTTTCCAACTCTTCTTAAATGAAACCATCTGAGGAGATTCGAGGGGAAATCTCTCTAACAACTAACAGATATCTGAAATATATGACAGAGCGGTCAAAGGACAGAAAAACAATTCAGTCTCTAACAGTACTGAACCTTTTTAAACAGACATATAGAGATATCCAACTTTCCCATTTTGGACATTTCCCCAAATATCCAACTTATGCTTTCACATAAAATAACCCTTTTTGTTTCTATCCCCATCTGAAGGCACACGAGGAAACCATCTGCCAAAATACTTGATTATCATTGTACTTTTCCCTTTAAACCCCATGAAAAAGTAAAGGAGGAATATTAAACCTTTGTCCCTTCTGTCCTCTCTGCTTGGAAAACCCTGTCATACACCTTTCATTAAATATTCAAAACGGTTAAAACCAATGACGACAGCTCCCCACATTGATCTATATACTTTGGCTAAACGTTTAATTCCTGTAAAGTGCAATGTGTGTGTAGAAGAGCCTCGCACCCTTTAATTTATTACATGTAACAATATAAAACTAATTGATGGCATGGGTTACGTTCCCTTGTCTTTCCCTTCCTCTCTGTCTGAGTGTAATCTGTCAGATTTGTGAGCTGGTCTCAGAGGAATCCGCCCAAACACATCAGCAGCAGGACGTGCACAGTGAGCAGATAGAGGCTGATCAGCAGAGGCGTGCGTTGGCGAGCGCAGAAGGCCACTCGCAGCATACGCATCAAACCCGGTCCACCTCTCCGACTCTGCCAGGGGACAAAACACAGGGTTACGGGAAACGTCGGACTCATAAGTCTTTATAATTACAGTTATTAAGATGACGAATTAGCCGGTTTGGGACATTAGTGGAAACGTACTCGTTTGACAGCTCCTTCCGGAGGCTCGATGAAAACAGCCGTCTCTGAGTGATCCCCCTCCAGTGCAGAGTGCCATTGAGCCGGGCTGTGACTGATAATCATAATAAAAACAGATGTTAGCCGTCACTTTTTGGTGATTAAACGAATTTGCCAGAGCGGAAATGGGACCAGGTGAATTATGGATGCAGGAAAAAAAACTAAACAAAGAGAAAAGTGTTTGTTTCAAAAATATTATCTTTAACATTATAGAATTTTAAATATTTAATGATCAGTGTCTTCTACACACTCTGTTACATGAACAACCTCTTCTAACACTAGTTAGAAAATGTTAGTTGTGTGAATTCTCTCTGGGTTTCATCTCGTGTCAGTTTCGTACCGTTTGAGTCCATCCTGTGCGGCCATCAGCTGCTCCTCAGCCGCCATCCTCTGCTGCGTCTCTTCATCCAGCCTGATGGAGAGGAGGTCGAATTAAAGTCCACTACGTTGTTACAGATACACATCTACACTACACACATCCTGACTTTTAGAATCACGTATCGTTTGATCCATATTCTACCTCCGCTGTAAATCTTTGACCTCAGCGATGTAGGCGTGGACGTCGAGCTGGCTGCTTCGCTCCTGCGGGGCTCCAGGAGGACTGTCTGCTTTCTCTGAGCCCTGGGGAGAGTTGTTGTTGTTGTTGTTGTTGGGATATTTCACAATGACTCAAGAACAACTACAAGTACAAGCACGTGTTTCTAAACCCTACCTCTCTCTGGTAGTGTTCCTGCTGGAGTTTGGGTCTGTGAGTGCGAGCTTCCTCCAGCATGGCGGTGAGCTGTCGCAGTTGTTGGTCCCTCTCCGACAGCGTGGCGAGGGTCTGCTGTTTCAGCTGCTCTGCTTGAGCCATCCAGTCAATACGCTCCAGCCTAAAGAAAAATAACAAGATTCTCAGAATCGCGGGCAATATAAGACTAAGCTCAATTATTGCAGACACTGGCATCACTTCAGTGGGTCCATGGTTTTTCAGTCAATCGCTGAAAAAGACAAAAATGCTTGATGTGTCTCACCTGAGAGACTCTATTTCCTGTTTGCCAGTCTCCACCATGTTCTCCAGCTGCGTGAGGACGCCCAGCATGTCTTCGTTCTTTGTCTTCTCCTCAAACAGCTCCTGGCTGATTTTAATTAGCTCCCCTGCTCCCAGCCGCGCCAGCTCCGACTTCTGCTTCTTCATCTCAGACGTTTGTGTTTGAAGCTGCTCCAGCTGCACACAGACAGAGGGATCGACAAAAACTGATGTTCAAATAAAAGTCTGTGACAATTCATGTAAAAAAACCCCAAACATGTTTGTAGATAGAGTTTTCCTTGTTGATTATTGTCACACATGTCACTCACCAATCGCTCCCTGTCATTTTGAAGTGCTTGCAGTGCGTTCTTCAGGCCCCACACTTCTCCAGTGGAGCCTCCGGGGCTGCTGTGAACCGCGGCGCCACCTGCCTGGCTCACCTCCTCCAGTTTCAGGTTCAGTTCCTGGACCTTGTTCACTGCCTGGTCCCTGCTGTCCTGGAGGGAGGCCATGGCTTTAGCAAACGACTGGTTCTCCGCTCTCAGCAGCGCCGTCGCTTCTTTCTCTTCTAGCAGCTTCTGCTCGACGGCCAGCAGGTCTTGGGCGAGCTCGGCCACCCTCTCCTGAGCGTTCTCTGACTCTGTCCTCATCACGCCTCCCTCCCATCGCAGATCAGCCAGCTCTTTGCTGTTGCTGTCCTGCTCCTGTCTCTCCTTTGATAGGCTCTCCTCCAAAGCCTCCACTTGTTCTCTCGCCACCTGCAGCTGCTCTCTCAGCTTCTCCACCTCTGCCCCAGGAGCATCTATCACCTGAGTCACTGTCACACTGTCAGCAGCCTGACTGAGAGTCTCCCTCTCCACCGTCACTGCCTCCACCTCTGCCTCTCTGGCTCTGCTA